TTAAGATAAAAATAGTTACTATAATCCGTCTTCCGGAATCCTAGGATATATCCGAACTGAACATTGACGTGTCAAATGAAATAACTTTTACTCACTGGTGTATAGGAGACATAGAAGACGTTACACTGCATAAAACACAATATTTCATTACCCTTATCACTTATAGAAATTTCTGAACTTTCGTAATATGCTCAGCTTTCTCGTAAATGGATTAACCTAGGAAGAATCACGAAGTTGTCTGCTGTGAATAATATTCTATTGGTCATATATTGGTTAATCTATGAGTTTAACGTGACCTATTCCTATCCATTGTCTTTTTAAATACTGGTCTTTACACCAAGAACCAACAACAAAGTGACTGAATATGTGTACTCGGAAAATTGATCACCACGTCCTTTTTGTTTGCATAACATTACAATCGTAGTTAATGTACATTTTATTCATGATTTGCATTGACGCATTTCTAATAAGTATCACAGCTACAGAATTTTGTTGTCAGTGAAGAAACGATGTGACCTTCTATTATGGACTTCGTAAATCAGGTAATTTGAAGACAATAGTCAATGTTCACTTGTACACTGCGCCTGTCCAATTAAATGCACAGAACTGGCTGAACCACTGAAATTCACTGAAGATCCATGAACCATGTGGAGAAAAAAGCTGGTTCAGGCCAGCTTGTTTGACAGTAACCATTTTTGGAATGAATTTAAAATTCTATTACTTTTATCACAATTGTGAGATAGGATTTAGAATATTTTTGCAATAAGTCTTACTACAGCAAAAACAACAGCTAGGTGTTGTTCATGTACAATGTATTTGAAATCTGCATTTAAAATGGATTCAATTATCTTCGAAAAAGTGGTTGTCTATTTCTGTGATGCATAGCATACATGCTGCTTTCCGTTTTTAATATTCTAAATGGCCGCGAACTAAGATAGACCGAAAACCCCAAACGCGCATTTAATTGTTGAGCGTCAATTATCACGACGATTTAAATAATTATCTTTCTCATTTGAATAGCACCAAATTTTCTGGTAACTTAGCTACTTGTTGAAGTACCAGACGATTCTCAGCACCCCGTATTTTTCTAAAACCATCATCTATCGTTGTCTAAATAGAGACAGAAGGACTAAATTCGTTTGACGATTGAAACACATTTACTGCAGTGAAACTAGTCCGATTGTGTTGCGCAGTGTTCGGTGATGCAAATAAAAGTAGGTAGGTACTCGTTTCATGTCACTTCAAGCTATATTTAGGGAAACACTTGTCCTTGCCAAAGTAGAAATACAGTTAAAACAAAGAAAATAAGTAACTAGTCATCTTCTTGGGTACAGTTTGAGGGATCTGCAGACTAAAGAACTACGTTACATCAGCAGCTAAATCTCTACTTATTTATTTTGCAAAAGATATTATGCTGACATTAAAATTCTTTCAAAATCATTAATAAACAGTGTGATTCCGCCTTGCTTTAGTTTTGCACAAGCTAACGCAGTTGAATGACAAAATCCATATAACATACTTGACTGATTTTTTCCATGAGTTTAGGAATAGTAATCATCCTTTCAAAAACTTACAAAGAAAAGCAGAGAAGCTGTTCGATAGCTAGAACAAGATAATTTGATGACAATGAAATTGGGTAAAAATCTGCTACAGTTATCGCGATGAAGTATGAAATACGAATGTTCTTTTGAGTTAGTAGACAGAATCTTCAGAAATAAATAAACTAGAAACAGCAGAACATTAAGTAACTAAGACTTTGAGACTGAATAGAATATCGTCTCTATGTCTACGTAAGGTACATTGAAATCCTCAGGGATGTATATATATGTAAACTGCATTGTTTGCCGAATCTTCTCATTCACGAATCACCTAACGCTCAAATCTAGATAGAAAAAACTTTCCACAACCTTCTGTAGCGAAGTACCTAGAGTAAGCACTTGAAACCCTACATAGTGAACTGGTGGAAATCCGTGTTAAGAGATTACTTAACATTCTAAGGAATCCGGAAAATATAAATATTAATAGAGAGGGATGATGCAAAAGCATCCTACTTTTTTTCACTTTTCTGTTTATTAGAAATATCACACAGTGGAATAGTATCACTTACTGGATAACGTTTCAGACAATTTATTATCCATATTCATGAACTCCAAGACTTTGAGACAGAGTTTATAAAGTCTTATTTTATCTCCTTCTTTTAGAGAAGGGTAGCAAAATTTTCTAATCTAATTTCTAATTACGTCTGACTTCTTGTCGTAGATTTTCTAACCGACTAGTAAGCGTTTCCGTCCTATCGCTTAGTCATTTAACTAGCCTACTTAAAGCGAGATCACGTAGGAGAATTTAAAGTGCAAGTAGCGATTAGAATGGGAAGGTTTTCTATAGACACCAGTCTCTGAACTTCAGTCTTGTGTCCATTTAATCTTGCAATCCCGCATAGCTAACTCATTTTCACCACTTTCCAAGTCACAGTTAATCTGGATTACATTCACCAATGAATTTATATGTGCTGAAAACCTATTGATGTTCCGGTCTCAGTACTAAAAACGTTTCATGTATATACCAGAACCACATCTTTGGAGTGGAACAAAATGTTCGTAGGGCTATCCTTTCCCAGCTATTCATGAATATATATATATATATATATATATATATATATATATCACGCAATTACACACAATCACACAGAAGGTTGGGATTAAGTGTGGTATTAAAAACTAACTTAGTTAGGTCAAGGAAGACATTGGTAACCAAATCTGCGTTTATCGAATCAACACCAAATATACGCAACAGAAATGATTTTGCACCTGTCCTAGATGTAATGAAAAGTTTACTACCCTTTTCTAAAAGAAGGAGATAAAATAGTACTTTATAAACTCTGTCTCAAAGTCTTGAGTTCATGAATATGGATAATAAATTGTCTGAAACGTTATCCAGTAAGTGATACTGTTCCACTGTGTGATATTTCCAATAAACAGACCTAAATGGAATCAAAGTCCATCACAGTGCCCATGTTTTACTCGTATATTAACATCATCAGTATTGCATGCAAATAATCAGGGCAGAGAAAGACGCTTCGTGAATTTCTTCAAAAAATCCAGATCGGTCTTGTCCAGAAGGGTCTTGCGGCTTTTAGTGTATATAAAAGTCGAAGTTTTAGGACTTGGATAGGATTTAAAGTAATGTTTTAAGTGCCTAGTTAATAATATCAACTTGGTGATCAGCGTCAATGAGATGAAAAAGAACAGAGATTCGTATGGATCTTGTTTGTCATTTGATTAACATTGAAGGATGGTTATGATAAATTCGGTGAGGGACTTACCCAAATCTTCACTCAATATAATCAGCCCCACAGGAACATTTAACTGTTGGGAACACACATAGGGGAGTAAGTAAGGTAGTCTATTTTTGTCCCGTTTAGTCAGTGGTGGTCGAATTTAGTGTATGCAGCATCAGTATATTGCATTAAGAGATCTTCTTCTTACATCCTTCTAACACCACGTCACAGTTTAGCAGACGACATCACTTTGATACTGTGGTCTCTAGGGGAAAGCTCCTGATATATTAGAAGTGTTCACAACTTTGGCTAGAATACCAATACTTATTCGTTACCACTGAGTAGGTCACGGCCACTTTGCAGTTTTTGACGGGCAGTATCTGAAAAGATAATTCTTACCCAAAGAAGCAAACTAGACTAAATCTAGTTTATATTGCAAGGGAACGGGACTCAAAAGATGACTGCTTTGACCAGATGACATTGGTTTCCAGTATATACTTCTTTTTATAGTTTCATCTGTTTGTGTTGGCACTTTAATATTCATGTAGGTTATGTTATTGTTACTTTCCTTTTCAGTGGTGAAAAAAATCATACATTATTCGAATTATCTATCAAGATCCTTGTGTCGTCCTCAACTTTTAAAATTAGGAATATATCATCCGCGTAAATTCAGTAAAATCCAAACCTGGTTATCATGTCGATTAAAAAGTCGTTCTCTAGTTTCGTTGATAAAAGAAGCTGTTAAAATTGAATCGATTGGTGAGCCTACAGCAACACCATCTGACTTTATATAGACTAAAAGGAAGTGCACATTTGCGGTTAATCTTTAGAGAAACTCTTACAAGGTAGATTTTGTTTCAATGTGTCATGATTGCTGTCTTCATATTAATTTCATTAGACAACTAACACTCTACTGATTACTATTCCACCTGGAAGAATTTTCATTTATTCGATTTGATCTTCATTTACCCATAACTCAGAATGTTTCAGTATTGGCGTAAGTACACTGCGAACGTTTAATTTTATCAATTTGCATGAGCCTCTAAGCAAGGCGGCTGAAGAAGAGACTACAACAAACAACTGATCACTTTAATTATTATTGTTTTGAGTAATCTACCAGGATGTTTGAATAGCTAAGAGTTTAACGTTAGCTCACAACGACCATGACGAGGAACTGAGAGATTTTTTACCCCCACCATTTTTTTCCTGATGATAAGTACAACTCGTTGGTTTTCACTCACATATATTTTTATTTTGTTGTGCTTATGATTCGTGTGACTATTAAGGACACTCTAGCAACTACTGAGATAACCAATTAGCTTTGTTCATGTAATGGAAATTTTTATATACGAGTAAAATGAAGAAAATTAACTGATTGTTCTGACGGTTACTTGGATAACACTATAAGTATTTCGGGAAACCCAAACAAAACTTCAAGACATTAGACTTTATTCTATTCTGTTGCCCTCATAATTAGACCTTTAAAGGATTCCAACTTACAGACATGATTTAATCTTCAAAAGTCGAAAGAAATGGGCTTTCACGAAATTGGATGCACCTCGTTGCATGTTAGGGTCATAGAGTTTTTAACAGTTTACCCAACGATGGAAACGTTCAGTACGCAACTGATGTTGAAACTAGTTCCAAGACATTGTAACTTGAAACTATTAGTACTATTGATGAGATTTCAAAATGTATCAAGAATTCTCATAAAATTCGTCTCCTATTATATTGTGCACATTGCACTTCGTTATACTGGTGTTTCGTAAGTAGTTAGATAATGAATGGTTTGAAGTCATTTCTTATGATGGTATAGTTGTAAAGCTGTACATAAAATGGGTGTCACGAAAGATACCAGTCTGTTTACAATGGTCTACATAGAAAGTCATTTTTAACTGATTGATTTTTCACTTAGATGATGAAGTGAAACTTCTTCATCCACTTGTTGATGTCGTGATGTTCATCTTCTTTTCTATACAATGAAAGAAAACCTTTCTCATAAATTCACCCTTCATGAAGCATGTTTCAAGCCATCCCCAAAGATGCAAACTAGAGTAGAGAGGAATACACGAAAAGGCATCAATAATATGCAGTTCAATAAATAAGTCGGAAGTAACACTAATCTGTGTAAGCAACTAACAAATATAACATAGTTAACATAGACTTTAAAGAGTGTATACCATGTGTATATGCATACCAGTAAAATAACTCTAAAATATAAATTTTGCGCATTCTGATAGACTAAAAAAGAAACCAATGTCTGTGCACAGAATGTTTGTCAAGGAGGAATTAGTGGCACATGTATGCACCAATAGTGCTGACTCTGGCAACACTGGTAATTTTTTCGCAATACTTCTACACATTTCGAATGATTTCACTCTGAGTTGTTGACATATTGAAGAAGAGCCATAAAAAGAGATGCTCAAATTTTTCTGTTTGTTGTTTCTGCTTCAACACTCCATGCTGTCCTTCACGATCAGCGTTAACTATAATATTTCACCTGATGTAACTAGTTCAACTTAAATATATGGTCTGGACAAAAGTTGTGAAATCATCAAGGTAACGGTGAAAAATGCATAGCTGAAAGTGACCACCATAAGCAGATGACGGAGTTAATTTTAGTATTGCAATGGGAGAAACTCCAACGTGCATGCAGTGTGCAAAGGTTCAAGTCGTCAATCTATGGGCTTAATAGTTATATATCACATCATAGCGTCTGTCGCTTGCAAGTTTTACATCATTGTTGTGATTGTTAAGCTTATTTCAATGAAAACCTTTATCAAGCAACATCAAATTAGTTTGTAGGAATATTATTTAGTTGACATATACATAGTTGAGAAGACTTCATAGAATGCCAAGAGCATCTTCAGCAAACCATGTGAGTCGACAGCTTACCACCGGTCAGCTATAGTAGAGCAATACTTATCAAATTTGTTAGCGAACGCTCATTTATCAAACTAGTCTAATCCATATTTGACTGAACACTGATTCAGGATGTTTGCTGGAAACAATATGGCTCACGAATAAAATATTAATAACAGTGTTAAAGTTCATTCAAGCATTTATCAGCACAAATATGACTTACAAGAGATCAAACCAAGTCTCCCTGTACATTAGAGGTATGAAATCAAGTTGCGATATTTAGCAAACATGAATACGAGTTGAATCAATCTATCGACAAGATTCTGATGACATTACTGGTGAGAGGATTGAATATGTTCAATAGTTTCACGGATTCAAAACGCAACACAGCGGCAAATTCCAGTGAAGATAGAATAACATAACAGGAAGCCTTTTTGTTTTTGATATGAAATACTATCTTCCTAATTTTTCAGCCAAATGATTGCTTCTTCTGTTTTTAATGTGTTTAAACTTTTAACGGCATTTTTCTTGGTGTAATAACATCCTTCAGTACACTTATTATGAACAAAAGTATTCATAAGATGTATTTTTGATGCAGTCAAAGATCGTGAAAGCAGTATGAAATACTCCTGCTTCCATGACATTAACGTTTTCCAGATGTAGGTATTTTTCTGAAAGAAAACCGGAATCATAAGCTGTTTTTTTTTCAAAATACTCACGTACTATGGAGCAAGCGTAATTTATTTGCTTACATTTAATGTTTACCGTTTTAGTAGGTTTTGAGGTCACGTTTTGAATGTTTTCAAGTCATACAAATGAAAATGTTCACTCACCATTAGGCAATTAGTAAACAATTTACTTGGCGTAATCAAATTAATGGATTGAAAAAATGATCTGTTCAGCTTCTTAACCTGCGTGATTCCGCCTAGTCATTTTGTTCAACAAGCAGCGAGCGCATTGAAAACATGAGTTTGATGTCATTTATTCTCATATGGAATTCTTTATCGAGACAAATAAGACTAGTGTAAAGACTCTTACATCTGAACGACTGTTGAATGTGCCGAACACAGTGTAAAGGCAATGATAAATAGGGAAGTATTAGCTTATTCGACTTACGGATCTTTCAGCTTTTTTATAAGTGAACTAAAGATCAACGATTACACGAACTTCTGTTTAGTGAAAATTGGTCGTGATGGTTAGAATAAAGGGTTCGGAAAATATTTCATATGTAAGGCAAAAATGAAAGGATATAGTGTAGTTATATTTTCATGAACAACGATTCAGCAACATATATACCCTGTATTGACGGAGTAGTAAATTGAATACCTCCTCATGGAAAGTCACATGTCCACACATTTCAAATTCGAACCAAGATTCACATTGTTTCAGGGATCTGAAGGAGTGTAATTACCGAATCAGTTCGAAGATATACTTTGTCTCAATAAAGTGAGCCACAGTCTTTATTTTTCAGCTTTAACGCCAAGACTTGTCACTCGACAAGTACCATTCAATTAGTACTCTTCATTTAACAGCTACGCTGTTTACGAGCATAGCATGATGTATCTTTACTAAGAATGTTTGACTGAAGACGGATAATTTTATACCCTAGCTTCACTGAGCCTAAATAAACTGATGAGTGTTTGAATATTCACACTTTGCCTCGAAAATATGACCATTGTTCATCTTTAAGAATAATAATGTTAACTGTTATATACCTTTAACAGGCCAAACAGTGTTAGGTGGGTGGATGAAATGAAAAGTATTCTTAATGCAAGAAAGTTTACGAAATAGTTTATATCCAGTTTAGTATGATATTCACAGCTACAGTGCGAAAGGGCTTATATTGTTCAACAGGCAAACAAGATTTCATCACAATTGATATAAAAGGAGTAAATGATTCATTTGAATAGGACGCCACCAAAGGAGAGTTTTAAGTTTAACTAGACAAAAACGATATTCATTGTGAGATGGACACTCTGGAACGTGTCATCCATCAATTCTAAGGAGCTCTGGTTTAAGATTTTTAGAGATTGATCTTTGCCGTAAAGAGTGAAAGATTAATTAGGCAAACTTTGAGAACTCATGCTTAACAGCACAGCAATCATGTTGATGTATTAGCATGAACTGGGATCGGCCATCAAGTGTTATATGAATCAGATCACTGTGGTTCATCAAGCCTAAGTTTCAAATAAAAATAGTTAAGCACTCATATAATCTGTATATAATTTAAAAACTAAAAGAAAGCGAATATTTTCAGATGCTGTTCGCTACAAATGAATACTTTCAAACAACTCCATTTATTAATGCATATATGAAAGCAAACTGTTAAGCGGAGACTAAGATCAAACAGGTAAAATGTAGCTTTTTGATCTTAATCTTTAAAGGTCTTTTAAAACCGACCAATTACCTACAAGTTATTGAGCAAGTACACAAAAGTATGGTACAAAAAAAGGCAATATTTCGAAAGTTTCTCCTTAACTCACCCGCTTTAATGTTATAACTTTATACTATTGTGTTAATTTTCCCAGCTAACCGCCAAGGAAGTAAATTAAAGATATATGAAGTGAGTGTGCTTACCTCGTCTTACCTGAAAGCAAATGATACAACAACAATCAAAACAAAAGATTTCTGTGGTTACTGAATCACTGCACTCAAGAAAAACTGCTTACAAAAGGTATTGGTTTGAATACTTATTTTCGGAATTTGCATGCAAACTGGAACAAAACTGAGTATATCTTACTAATGAACAGAATTTCAGATTCAGTCATACATGTCGGCAGTATTTGTTAGTTCAGAACAGTATGTTGTAGCAATGCTCATAGATTGCTGTTTGGTATGTTACGTAACTTAAGAACATGATGATCACTGCATTGAAAACTAACAGAGGAGTTGATACTGGGTTTTTTGAATATCACATTTCTGCTTTTCACACTAAAGTGGTTATACTTTCTAAAGCAATTCAGTTATTTTGACTGATTCCATACTGCAGTGTGCTCATCCTTGAAGAGATTCAATAATGCCGAATAAACACAACATTCTAAAAATCTTTCCCCTAATGGAGTGGAATCGATTCGTTTTGATGGTTGATCCATCCGTCCAGATCAACCTAGGATCAGGGATTACTGCGTAACGGTCCGAGTTGACACAACTCAATCAGTACATCAAGTAAGAAGGTAGTGAGGCGCAAGATCAGGACAGAGAATGCATTCAAAAGAAATATAAAGTACGAAAAGGGAGAAACGAGGAATGAGAAAGTGGTGAGATTAGATATGGCGTCGTTAAGATGAGGATAATATTTGTATACATCTGCGCCACTGACATCAGTTCTCAGCCATATCACCTAAAGTTCCAACCACTGGTTCCTCTTATCTCGCCAACCCCAACCACCTAGTCTGCATCGTCCCACATGGCTCAAACCAACAGTCAAGGACTTCATACACTGATGCCATGTTTTAGTCTGGCCACCTAGGGCCTTTTTCTAGTCTGGACCTACTTCAGTCAACATTGTGTAACGAGGCAATCGGCTACTAGGCATGCGTAATACGTGTCCCAACCATCTCAGTCGATGAAGGTTCACAACCTCGCCAACTTACTTGCCTCTTCTCCCTAAAACTCTACACCTGACTTCTGCGTTACTCACATAGTGACACCACGGAATACGGCCTATACTACAGAGGCAACGGTGGTCAAACACCTGAAGCCTTCTCATATCTTCCACCTTCAATGGCCGTGTTTCACCGCCACTGATGGTAAAACATTTACCTGTATCCAAGAAACTTATTTCATAGAATTATTGACGTGTCAAGGTCATTTGAGTAACTGTGGTTACTGACTGATTTCCGTGTATACGAATAATATCCATGTTAGTATGTTAGGTAGACTGTATGTCATGAAGTACTTAGCTTGATACCGGTTATTCCCTGTCAATATAAAGAGGCTTTGAACCTATGTTATGGTTAAAAGTAGTAGAATATCAGAGACTTATGTCAGTCAAATGGTGACCACGCCTCAGAGTAACTCAAATCAGTACTGTCGTTTTCATATTGCATAACCTGTCGCTCATAAGGATGTGAAACTCGAAAAAAGTCATACACCTTGAAGAATGTTAGCAGATTATATGCTAAAGCAAAATAGTTTCTACATGCATCTTCCATCTTAGAACATTTCGCTGAACAAAAAGAATTGAAAAGTGTTCCAAACAGTGTTAACAGAGACGTCGGTTTTCTAACCGAGGTAGAAATTGGTTACCTAACTCATTCAAAACGAAATAATTCTGAAATACTATTTAAGAGTTCTGATTACTCGTATTTCATTTTTAAGCGGATCACCAGCTTGGAATTCATTTTAATCTTTTGTTTAACACCTGTTAGAATTATATTTCAAGCTCCAAGTTATGCTAAACATAATTTAGAAAAACATAGTGTAGTGTAAATGAAGACTGAAAGCGTTTTATCACGTCTCATAGATCATGAATTCGACTAGGTAGGAGCTCTTTTGTCAAATTACCTGTACCTTTCTAGTAATAATTAAGAGCACCCATTTTGTAAAGCTAATTTTCTAATAAAAAGGAGCGGAGAGAAGATTTTCTGAAAGTCTCGCTGCCTCTGTTAATCGAAAATTGTAGTACCTCATAGAAGTAAATCACAAACATTTATGTGGCAGCAAAACACCTGACGAATATACACAGAGGTTTTCAAACATAAAAATCTTACTAAACATTATTAACACTTACATTTGTTGAACAGCAGACTTGTAATGAACAGCAGTGTGAAACAATACCTTCCTTTTGATGTCATCTCACTTCTAATGCAACAAAACTGAGATGCTGAAATATTAAAGAAAGAACCCCTGTTAGCATAAAGCAACCCACACGGCTGAAGAGACGCCTACACAGAATTCATATGTTCATGAAGTGCGTCAAAGTAGAAATAGCACATATTTTCAAACACACATACGCACATCGTACTTATGATACTTATGATACGCTTATCTATAAATAACTGTACAACTCTTGAGTAAGTCAATCAAAGCGAGTTTATGACTACATTTTATAACTAAAATCACAACAAGAATAAATACTTTTATAGTTGTGTTGCAAGTTATCATTCATGTGAACTACATTTCGTGACCACGTTTAAGTTCTTCAGAAAAAAAGAATATAATGTACACAGTGAATGAGAAGACCATTCAGTATTATTATATTATTTGTCCCTCGGTTTCTTAGAGTAACATAAGGCTTCAGTAGCACGTCTCCATTCCACTCTCTTCTCTGCAAACTTTCGAGCCTGTCGCCACGACAGCCCACAAGCTCTCATTTCCTCCTCGCACCATCTCCTCCATGTCACCCTCACTTCGGATGCCCAACTCGTCGATTCCCATCTGGATTCCACTCGAGTTCCTGGCCTGACACGTGATGTCCCCAGTCGGCCTTCTCAGTGTATGCCCAATCCATCTCCACTTCCTTCCACTGCATATTTGTTCAGCGATAGGTTCTTGGTTGGTTCGTTTCCCGAGCAGAATTCCTTGTCACTTATTCTTTCTGACCATCTGATCTTCAGTAACGAGTCAACGTAGGCAGTTGTTGATGAAGGTCTGCAGTTTATTGGAAATCCGTTTCGTGACGCGCCAAGTCTCTGAACCATACAGAAGCACTGACTTGACGTTGGTGTTGAAATTCCGGATCTTGTTCCACATGCTGAGTGCAGTGCAGAAGATCTCCACACTGGTTTCAGGCTAATGAAAGCCTGTCTTGCTTTTCCGATTCTGACTTTCACATCCTCGTCTGTGCTACTGCCGCCTGTAGTTGAAACAGTGCGATCCACTCGTCGTTCATCGTTGCAATGGCTTATCTTCTCCTTCATCATCCTCCTCTCCTTGCTCCATCAGCTTCCATGTATCCGTCTACATCCATTCCTTATCTTCTTTCTTCTTCCTTCGTAATACCGCTGTGCAGGTTTCTTTCCACATCTCCTTCAAAGACTTCCAGTGTTCTTCAACACAGGTCTCTTCAGGCATGTTCCTCGATACCTCCCATTTTGTCTGGATGGCTGCAGTGAATAGTTTCTCTGCAGTTTTCCCCTTCAGTTTCCGAGTGTTGAACTTGGACTATGGTCTATCACCAACTTCCTTGAAGGCTTTCAACTTCGTTTGGAAGATTCCTTGCACTAGATAGTGAGTGGTCTAAACCTACATCTGCTCCTCTTCTTGATCTTGTGTCAAGTAGGCTGACTGAGTCTCCACCTTATTCACATTGAGATGAAGTCGATCTGATTTTTAGTGTGTCCTGGTGTCTGGTGAAATCCATGTCACTGCCTTGTGGATATCCTTGTGCTTGAACACAGTGCCTCACTTCCAATCACCAAATCGTTGAATGCACAGAATTCTGCAAACAATTCTCCATTCTCGTTCATCACCTCACAGAGCCCTTCTCGACACATGGTTAGTTCTCTTCCTATGTTGTCCCCTCCCAGTTTGGCATTCATGTCACCCCACCCATTAGAATTTTGATATCGCCAACTAAGGTGGTGTCTTGTACAGTGTTGATTGCAGTTGTCTGTGGATTTCCTCTTTTTTCTCTATTGCTCTGCATTATTTGTAGGTGCATAGCATACCACTGTATGATTGTGACCTTCCTTCCTTCCTTTTGAGTTGAATCTTGCTGTCATGATCCTGGAGGAGACTTGTTCTCACTGCATGAGAGCCTTCGATGCTGTTGGGGACATCATGATAGCCACTCGATAACTCAGTGTGCTCGTGGTTGTCGTTTGGGTGACAATATCGGAGTAGATTATTGATTCCTCTCCAGTTGGCAGTTTGAAGAGTCCACTCCCATTCCATCTGCTTCTGCAGTTTCCTAACACTTCAATGAGATACCTTCTCATCTCCTTTGCAATCTGGGCTGCCTTGCTAGGTTCAAACGTGCTGCAGACATTCCATGTTCCTACGTTTACTTTCGCTTTCACCGAGAGAGAGGAGACACATCGGCCGATTGGCTTCCTGAAGGCTTTCACCAATTGACGTCATTTTGCCTCTCCGATTGCAGTGAAGAATAATCTTGTGTTTAATTTTACTATTTCGTTTGTGCTTTGGAGTTTCTCTCGGGGTTGGATTGGTTTTACGGGTTAGGGTTGCTAGTCGTATGCCCAAGCTTCCCTCTTGACCCGGGCTTGGGACCAGCTAGTAACTAGTGAACTAATCAACCAGGCGAGGCAACTTTTCAGTATGGTGGGCTCCTAAATGTCACTGGAAAAATCCAGGATGTATCCACTTCATATAAGCATGTTAAATTCCCTTTTTACATGTATTTACACAGTATATCTTCATAGCTAGTCATTTATGTTGCATAACACATACACAGCACTGTTCCAATACTTTAGATTGTGTAGGAAGTTGAAACCTTAACCCCTGCATGCAGAATGAATATACAGAGTAGGCAGTAGGAAAATGTACTGCATTATAAAAACAGTGATACTCGTAAATTCAGCAATGTAGGCTGGTTCCTTGAGAAACTGAACTGTTATTTACCGGGACGCAGAAAAGAGCAAAGTCATACACTTCAAAGAAGTCTTCTATTATGGCATACTCTTGAATTAGTTTAATAACAACTGTCGTGTTAATAATATGAGACGCATGAATTTAATGAATGAGGAATCGAAATACCATCATACACAAAAATTAAACGTTATGCAAGAAAACTCGGGGATCTCGAGGCCAAGTCTGGATTTCAAAATGAAATACTAAAGCGGTATGAATACATACATGCAATTCAGTACAAAATACTTCAGTATACTTCATCCTGATATTTAAATGCTGATAACTTAAAAATGTTATGCATTTTATTCAGCATTGTCTCATTATCCTGGTCACATTTCTATCTTAGTTATGTATTCACAGTTTAAGCAGCTACAGCTAATTTTCCTACATAAGTTAAGACAACGAAGATAATTTTGTGCCGTGAATGCTTACATGAATCTTACCACGTCTGGTTTGAGGTATCGCCGGTAACCATTAAGGCTAATAATGACAACTAGAACTCTCTGAAACTTTCAGTTTATAGTGCAGACATTGAAAGGCTAATGAGCATTCAGTAGTTACCACGTTTTGTGTCTTGATAGCTAAAAATTAACAATTCAGCCAAACATTTTAATTTTTTTAGCAGTTTCGTGAAAGTTTTTGCATACAAAGGGATCTTGAATCACAACCACATAGCCTGTCAACCTGTAGATTAACATATTTCGGATAAAATATATCTTGAACTGTCTCTATCTCTCTCAGAAGAATGCATCAGTTACAGACGGTATCGTTCGGAATATTGTATTGATTTTCGTGAAAATGCTTTTGAAAGACATGCAAACCTATCTGTAGTATCCTTAGACGATTTCCAACTATCCGCCTCTACCTGATATATTTATGACTAAATTGTTAAAATAAGCAGAGTTCAGGTTATGAAACGGTATGCATATAGTTCTCATTTTATTATTAACAAACCTAAATCTATCAACTTCTAGTTGCCAAAACTGACTCCATTCATTTAAGCATTTTGAGAACATTTGGTTCAGAAATAAATATTGGGATTGTTTGTCTTGTCTGAATACGTTGTTACACCAAGGATTATTCAAGAAAATTTGATTTTGAAAACAATAACTATTTTCTGGAAGCTTTATTTTTGTTCACTGAAGAAATAAATATAATGGTTACCAGCATCTTTCGAGATATTAAGTTACAAACTGTATAATAAGAGACGGTGAGTATGCACTCAATAACTCTTGTAAGTAATTGTTTAAGTATTAATAGTAAATGTCACAGCAAAAGATAACTAAAGATCTTTAGGAGTATTAGTATAGCAGAATAGCTATCTGGACTGAACTACCACTCGAGGATAATCGGAATGTGCGAGTGGTAGATTCGTTCTACTTAAATGTCGGTCACATTTTACGAAGTGGGTGTGTGTACATGACGCTCCAGATGCCTCAAATTATGACATATATATATATATGACGAAGTTCCTTTATTTCTTTGTCATAAAACCTGCATTTATTGAGACCATATGTAAATTAAAGTAAAACGAAGACTCAAGGTCTTCTGAAGAGCAGATCTGTTAATGGTTATAATTTCATCGTATTAACAAACCCAAATTGCCTAAATTGAATTGAAATTCTGCAGTATTGTTTTTCAAGCACTGATTAAGATGGATGAGGGAAAACGTGTTGATTTTGTCACAAAAATTGTTATACAGGGTTTTCAAAAATGATGAAATATCTATGACTGGATCATCTTCTACCAGTTTTATATTCTGAGGAAATAACAAACTTGATCCTCTATCTAACTTGGACTAAATGGTCCACTCAGTTCACCAGTCATTTATGAAACGTTTCACTTCATATTCCTGAAACACTGTCAATCATTTTGTTATGGTAAACCTTGTTAGTCGTTATCTCATTTTGATAGCATAAGAAATGAAATATTTCGCGGATTTTGTCTCATCAATCCTTCAGGTATAAATTAAAAAGTTGAATTACTCTCACTGATTATTTAATTTGTTGAATGAGAACAGATTTTGATAATGACAAACTGTTGGCATGAATGCATATGCATATATGTATTCATTCATAATACAGAGCAATTTATATCGCTCCACGGTCACAAACGACTGTAAATGTAATACGATGAAAGCTTAAGATTAACTGAATTTTACATTCCCTCAACAACTTGCATCATTTGTTTGAATAATAGTGAAAAGTAGGTAAGTAAGATGTTTACAGACATATTATACTGGCTGACTGATCTTCTTATATCTTGTTCAGTGGAATCAATAAACCGTAGTCAAGACTTTCTTGGTTCTGTCGTCGGGTATTCAGCCAACATTCAAAGACCATTTAAA